AAACCAACCGCACCAAGCCCAACTCCTCGCCCTCCTCATCGCCGCCGCCATCGCCGCCGCAGCCGAACAGTGCTACTGATCAGCACAAAGCCAGCTCTCATTCGAGCAGCGAGAGCTCTAGCCTCACCAACACCACCACCGCAGCCGCAGCCGCCGCGACGGCCACGGAGGCGGTTTCAGCTCCGTCTTCGACTGGCTCGGCTTCCAACCTGTTGCGTAATATTCATCGTCAGGAGTCGAAATTCTTCGGTTCTCAAAGCGGTGGCTTCGAGCCCGGTGCTGCGGCAGCGTTGCTTGAGCAGAGTACGGAGATGAACGGAATGTTCTCGGAGATTGGAAGCTTCACGAGCTTGATCACGTCGTCCAACGACTTGCCGTTTGGTTTCGGTAACATCGGCGGCACCGATGCTTCTGTTTCGCCGTTTAGGGTGAATCAGCAAGCGCAAGGGCATCATCAGAATCAATGGGGTCAGCAGAACCAGAGCGAGGAATTGAAGATGCAGGAATTGAGTGGGGGATTGATGGATCAGACGGGTCAGGTGGATTTATCAGTGTTCCATGGCAGATCCAACGGCGGAGGAGGAGGAGTATTTGGATCGTTAGATTGGCAAGCGGGTTCAGGGGATCAAGGTTTGTTTGATCTTCCTAACACCGTTGATCAAGCATATTGGAGTCAGAGTCAATGGACTGATCAAGACCACCCTACGCTCTACCTCCCGTAAAAATCTCTCACTCTAATTAACCATCCATTCCCTTTATAAAAAAAAAAATGGAGAATCTCAAAAGAAATTGGAATTTGAGAGGAGTTTTTATAAAATTATGAATATATATATCACTGCTCTGCTCTGTATGTATGTAAATTTCATATAATTTTTTCTTTTGGGGGGTTTAATTAATGTGATGATTTGGAAGCTGTTTTTGTTTTTTTGGGTGGGTTTGCTCTTTTTGCCTCTTGAGGTTCATTTGCAACTAACCTTCATGTTAGTTTTCATTTTTAATCTTGTTTTTTTTTTCTTTTTGGGGGTTCTTTTGGTATCTGGCCTTCGATGAATCAAATATATAGAGAGAGAAATATTATAGTGTCTTCACTGTTTGGCTTATGAATGATCACTTCTTCTGTTTTCTTAACTCATGTGTGGTTAGTTAATTGCTAACTAATCACGCTTAATTGATTCATATTTAAGCACGCTGTGCCACGTCATTGTTGTATGATTAACAGTGAAGTCATTAAGCTCAGATATTTTCTTTTTATCTTTTTTTGTGTTGTGGGGAGCGTGTACGGAGGAAGAGGGTGTGGCGGCAGTGCGCGGTACTGCTTGCTGGGGAGGGTCGGTTAGGAATTGGGTGGTGGGGGCGCAGGTGGATCCGGAAGCAGTCCCATGCGCGATTATGAGTCCACGTGGCGTAGTTGAGGAGTGGGGGCATGGATGATAATGGCAGCGGCCACGTGGGGCTTGCATGATGGGCCAGGCGCTGAGGAAGGTCGGTTTGTCCTGGCTCTGCTCTTCCTCTTCCTCTTCGTCCGGCGAAACTATCATTTCATACCCCCGTTTCATTATCTCAGTTCTCTATTATTCTATTATTCTATTATTCTATTATTCTATTATATATAACGTATTAGACAAGGAAAGAGACGGAACAATGAAATGAAAATAGAGAAGTATTTCTTCTCCCTCCTCTCTACTGTTGTCTTATTATTCATGGTGTCAATGACAAGTGATGATCAGTGCTGGATGGAGTTGTAGTGGGGTTGGGGTTAGATAGACATACCAACATGTGCATGTTCGTGTGTGAAGAAGATGGTGGTGGGGGGATGATCAGTTGATGACGACGACGTGGATACTATGTGCTGGTGGGACCGGCATTTTTTTGGGTTGGGTGGGTTGGTGCGGACTGGTTAAAAAAAAGGGGTATACTGTTTCTAGTAGTTAGTGAGTGGAGTGGGGTCCAAATGGCAAGTGCAGAAGTGGCCTATGACTCGGTGACACGAGTCACGGATTCGGTGGTCCGTGTGCCTCAAGCAAGTTACAAATGAAAACGAATGATTGAATTGAAATCCCACTCTCACTCTCACAACAACACAACCAGCGCAGCGGAGTTCACTTTTTAATGTCTTGGTTAGGCTAACTAAAGCACGTTGTCAATCATATTAAACTAACAAAGCTTAGGTCGCTCTCCTGTTTGTCATAATAAGAGCAAGTTTTTTTGGGGTCGAATTGAAGCTGAAAAGTGCACCTTTGGACATCCTAATCTGACTACTTCTTCAAACTTCAAAGGGCTGATAAAGATGGAAAACCAATTAACAAAGTATCTATTAGTTAGCTTTCATGATGAAGCTATTCATTTTGGTAGTCTACGTACAATTTGGTTTTGGATAGTATCTTATTGGATGACTGGTTCTCACTGAACCTAAGTCTCATCTTTTTGCCATCAATTTTTTGTTGTTGTTGTTGTTTCTACGTCTTCTTAATGGCTAGACATTGAAATCTCGTTGACCTTTTCATCACATCGCATTGGTGATTATTTGAAACCTTTCTTCTATTCATAAATTTTTATCTAGTGATTTTTGAATGTTTAAGCCTAATTGTTTAACACATGCGTTGGTTAGGCCATTTAATCAAGGCAGTAAACAAACCCTAACACCCAAGTTCGAATTCCTCATAGATTATGAGATGAGATGGGATGAGCGACATTGCTTGCTATGCATGTGCAAACTGGCCTGGTCCAAGCAAGCATTGGCTGATGGGCAAGGCAAACCACCATGACTTTAGGCCAGATGATCAAGATGTGACTTGTTGAAGACGGAATATGCACCCTTCTTCTTGCCTATGGGTTTTGCCATAAAGAATTGCCATTAAAGACTTCAATGGGCTATGGACCATGCTGCGCTGTCTGCCCCCATGGATTTTGACTTCACGTTTGAAGTTGGAACCCTCTCACAGTTGGGCAGATGGTTATCATCGTTGTGGGCCTTTGTTTTGTGACCGATCGATCTTCTTGACTTCCCTACTTGGAGTGCACCATTATGTATGTTTGCCCTATTCAGGACTTTCTAGTTTCAACCAAACATTTTTAGCCTTTGACAATGGAGCTTGGCTATTTAAGAATTTGAGGGTACAGAAAGTTGGGGCAAAATGTCTGGTATTGGAATTGGTTAAATGATTCTCAAAAGAAGCCATTAAGGATTAAACCTAGCTAGTTGCCCTAGCAGAATTGGTACTACAAACTAAAGGGGTTTTGGTCCACTGCATCAAGTATGCGTTTAATCATATTCAATTATCAATTCTAAAGTTTTGTTCAATGTTGATCTCTCTCTCTCTTTCTCTCTCTCTCTCAGAGTAACTCAGTTAGGTTGCCAGAAGGATGCTCAGACGGCAACCTTAATTTCTCTTCAAATCATGTAAGCAAATGCCAATAGGACCATCTGAACTAAACTCATCACATGTCCAGCAAGGCCTCTACTTACTAAATACAAAATATTAAATGGATTAAATTTATTACTACTATGATGTTATTGTATAAATCAGAACATGTGTTTGTGTATAATCTGTAAGGCATGGCATAAAGCTTAACTAATTTACAAGCCAAAAAGATTGAAGTAGATATATGGCATTCAGAATTTACAGCAGAGAAAACGCATCACCCAATGGCGGCGGTGTCTCTGTAATTGTCTCGGGTCAGCTTTCCCCATTCTTGCCGGGCTGCCATTCCATTCCGAGGATAATCTGCCCATCATGTAAAAAAGTTAAAAACTATGATCCACATGTTACAACTCAGAAAATAAAAGCAAGCAGTAGTAGTAGGGTTAGTGAGGTTACATGGGAAAAGCAAAAGACTGGGAGCTAGTTGTGCTGCTATTTGACCGAAAAGATATGCTACCGTAACTTGGTATTCCTCCTGAGAGTGCTAAAAGGCCTGAACAAGGTTCAGATGCTGACATCCCATCTTCGGACGAATCAGGCCTGAACATGTTTCCCATGTCGGGAGGATGGCACTCTGCCCTTTGTGTAACTTCCTCTCTCCCTTCATCTATGGTGATTATACCATTGAGTTTGCCAAGACTGCTTGCATCGTCCAGGTCACTTCGTACAGAGGCCTTGCTTGTGAGGCTGTTGTCATCAATTGCCTGACTTTTGGATAATACCATTGAGTTTGCCAGCACTGCGTTATTTGGACCCTACAGAATGTGAAATATAAATAAAAACCAAACCAAAGAATTCCACTCTGCAAGTATGCCTAAGATATTTTCCAATCTGCACTGGGAGTTTGCAAATCTAGAGAATGATGAAAATGTGATAGTGAAGCAAACACCATCCAAAGCTTTCATTGATTACCAAAAGCGTGAGATTAAATCCAACTGGTTGGTAGGATTTGCCATCTGATATTGGCTCTTAACGCTAATATTATGTTAATTATCCTCGGTGGCATCATCTCATCCAATTATTTAAGACAGGATGGAAAAAGCATTGTCCTGCTGCAAAAATTCCATCCCTATTTCATGAGCATCAGCTTACCAGGGCCAGTGGGGAGGCTCGGGAATTAAAAAAAGAAAAAAGAAAAAAGAAAAAAGATGCAATAAATAAGATTTCAATGTTAAAGGGGATTTATTCTAGCAAAGAAATAATTGGTGACTTACCTGTCTAACTATAAGCAGTGTTTCAGATACGGTCTTCTTGGTTGAATGATCATCACTTTCTCCAAAATATTTGTCATCTTCAGTCTTCAAGTTCTTGGAACCACACTGCTCGCTTACATCCTTGTCACAGTCATGCTCAGTTGAAGCGGAAGACTCCGAGTCCAGAGTTTCTCCAATTGATTCACTGCTGCTGTCCAGATCAGAGTCAAGTATGCAAGCGATACGACTGTGGTCCAGCTCACAGTTTTCTACCAAATATTTTTCCTGAGATGGCACTTCCTTGTCAATGCAAATGTCCTTAAAACACTGGTAATTACTGCTCTCTTGAAGGAAAGCAACCAGCTCTGGCAATTCATTGTCCATGCCA